CTCCGCCCTGCTCCGCCCTGCCCGGCCCTTATCGTCCATACCTTCCCTTCCTGCTTCCCTTCCATCCCTTCCTCGACGGCGCCTCACTACCGCCCGCTCCTCGCTCACCGCACAACTAAATGGAAAACGACAGCAATTCCGACTCTGGACAGGCTAGCCTATTCACGGATAGTTTCTGTAACAATTTGGAGGGCGATTTGTGTACGATCGGGTGAAAGTTGACGAAGATGAGATTCTAGCGGTGGTGGGTGGTGAGCTATCAACCACCACCTTCTTTTTTGTGGCCGTTGGGAGGGGACACTCTACCCATCTTATAAGCTATTTCAGAGAAATGGGAAAGAAGAACAGCACGAATAACAAGGAGGCCTGTGATTCGTCGCTCAGGTGGAGGGGGAGACAGGACGACGAATCGCGGGCCACCTTGTTATTCGTGCTGTTCTTCTTTCCCATTTCTCTGAAATAGCTTATTGTTTAGGGTGCCGGCTCCCCGCTAGCGGAGCTCCGAGTGGGTACTCACACGAACACAAGCAGTGGGTACTTGGTGGCGCCGCTCTTGTCCATACCGGGCGGCAGGTACAGGCGTACCCGGGCGTTGAAGCCGCCCTCCACGGGCACCCAGTCGTCGTAGAAGTCGGGCCGCAGCCTGGTGGCCAGGCGGGCGCGCAGGTCGGCGTTGTCCTCCCACATGCGGATGAGCGCGGGCTTCCCCGCGGGCGTGCCCTGCACGCTGTAGAGCGCGTAGTAGGCGGGGTCCGGCCCGAGGCACGAGAGCACGCCGTACGTGAACTTCTTGCTGAAGAGCGCGCCGCCGTAGGTGCAGTCCTTGCCGAGGAGGGCCTTGTCCGGGTCGGCGGGCAGCTTGCACGTTAGGCACTCGGGCGCCGAGGCCACCACCCGGTTGCTGCTTCCGCCCGGCGCCGACACGCGGAACACCTGCCTGTGGCCGGGCTCCTGCAGCTCCGTCTGCAGGTAGTACCTGCCCGTGTAACCGGGAGATTGGTAAATGAAAAACGGCACTTGTGGGGTGCAGTTGACCGCACAGACTGCGCTCCATCATCATCACACAGCCACAAAATCATGGCTCTCATACAGACGTAGGAGAAGTAGGACGCAAAATTAATTTTGTGCTCAGGAATAAACGTCATGAAACCGCAAAAGTTCAGGCAATGTTAGGGCAAGCTCTCATAGCGCCTCGTAGGTAGGCAACATCGCGCATGTAGTGCATGCGTGTACCGCGGGGTGGCCTACCTAGAGTTTCGCAGGCGCCGAGCTCCCACAATTTGAGAAATGAATGTACTTTTTTAGGCGATCTCTACGAAGGTACAAGAGCTGTTCTCAGTCAACCCTCCAACAAATTCGGTTTCGGGCGGAGGGGTTTGTCCTGGCACCTGCCGCCACACGCCGTGCACTCACAGGTAATCGCGGTCCTCGTCCCAGCCCAGCACGCCGAGGACGGTCACGTTGCCACTGGTGAGGAAAGTGACGGAGGCCTTCTGCCCGTCGTCCTCGGGGAAGGTGATGACGGCCAAGTGGTTGTGGTCCTGGTTCGGCAGGATGGCGGCCGCGCGCCGGCCCGACGAGTGCATCTCCAGCGCCGGAGGGTCCACCCAGCCGGCCCTCTCGGACTGGCTCAGCGCCTGAATAAAATGAAGGCAAAGTTCAGCACGTTGCTGCCCACACTGCTGCTCATTAATAACAGTGGCAATCACCTCCGTGCAGGTGCCGGTCTTGGTGTCGCAGCTCGAGATGATGTTCAGGTTCTGGACGCGGTTTGTCCAAGACGCCAGTAGGCGCTTCTCCGTCCAGAAGCAGCCGTACAGAATGTGGTCCCTGTCAGAAACGAGCAAAGCTCTCTGGTGACTTTTTGTGTCCATGGTGTACACTGAGGTGGTCATGTTCGTAGTGTTATTTACAGAATCGTTTTAAATGCACCACAGACACATTCCACTAAACTTACTTTGTCACCGCTTCCGGCGCTGGAATATCGACAAGGGTGACCTTCTTCGTCTGTGCCACCGACTCCAGGTCGACCACCCTCAGGTGAACATTCGGGTTTGGCGTGCCAGCCTAAAGATGAAAAGCATGAGAAAAGGGGCGAACACGTGAACCAAACCTAAGACTGGGGATTGCTAACGTACTTTCGGGTAGGTGATATTGACCACCGTCGGGTACTGGCTATCGTATTTGAAGTAGAACGTGTGGTTGACGTGTGAGTCGTCAAAAGATGCGAAGGCCAGTTTTTTTCCGTCCGGTGATGGCCACATGGCAGCTCCAGAGGCAAGCACCTCCTCTGCAACAGAGACAAAAAGAGTGAGTGAAACGCTCACATGTCGCAGCAGACAGAGGCGTGTGGCCGATGCCGACCGACGCTCACCTTCGTATACCCAGTCCGGGACGCCGTTGAAGATGAGGCCATCCACGCCATCCGTGGTGATGGCGACGTCGGCGCCCGCCACCTTGGCATCCTGACGGTAGTAAATGTTGTTGTCCTTAGTCACCCAGAGGATGGACCTGTCGCCGGCCCACACCAGGGAGCGTAGCTGCTGATCGTCGTGCACCGGGTAGAACGTGTTGTCCGTCGTGTCGTAGATGACGAACTTGGAAGTGGTGGAGTGGCGGTACACCTTGTCCGTCTCGTAGGCGATGGCGACCAGCTTGCCGTCCTTGGAGTACGAGTCGATGGAGCTATCGTTGTACCGTGACTGGGAGAGAAGGGAAAAAATGCTCTTGAGATTGTGTGGAAAACGATAGACTTTTCTACATTCTATATCAGTGTATCCAAATTGTTCAAAAGAAGAAGACAAGTAGGAAAGTGATAGAGGTGGAAGTAGATCAAGCTAGTATGGTTTATTAGCGGGCGAAAGACCTTCGCAGAACATGTCTTGCCTGTAGAATACTAATCCTTTAATCACCAAACTTTTCCATTGGCACTCACTAGAACGCCGCTTGGCACGATGGTCCTGTTCGTCTCCGTCCTGACATTGTAGAAGATGACTTCGCGCGTCGTTAGGTTGTAGAACCGCAGCTCATCATCTGCAAAGAGTGTGTCCGCATAACTGTGGTGCTCACCTTAGCTGACGGTCCTCCCCGGCCGCTCCTTCTCGTACTCACCTGCTACCCAAGTGCCCTTAAACGACCTGGCGATGAACTTGGAGTCGACAAAGTCCTGGAGTTGAAAGGGTTCCCTCTCGGTGGGGTCGGTCGGGGCGCAGGCTGCCAGCGGCACCAGCGCCAAGAGCAGCGCCAACACCTGGTTCATTTTATTCTCTTGATGTAATTTCAAAAATAAAGTTAGCTCAAGATAACACGTTCATGTGCGGCTTCAGTTGCTTCCCCTTCCCGCCCCCTATACCGCGTGAAGAGTAGCGATTGGTAACAGGTGAGAGTCCCGCGGATTGATAGCGACTATTATCCGCGCAGCTTATCTAGCGCTCGTGTTACAATGACAATCACACACACACACACACACACACACACACACGTGCGGGCCCCCGCCCACACACAGTCACTCGCTCACAGACATACTCACACACACACACACACACACTCACACACAGAGGCACGCAGTAATTCCTACCCTGCCGGTGTCGGTGGCTCATTCCCTCACCTACAGCCATAGACAGTTAATCGCTAATCCCCCGATTTCGAATACCGTCTCCATCGATAACGGGGGGGCAACCCGACAGACTAAGAGATTTACGTGCGATACACTGTTTCTCCCCCCCCCTCTCTCTCTCTCTCCCTCTCTCTCTCTCTCTCTCTCTCTCTCTCTCTCTCTCTCTCTCTCTC